GAAACAAAGCCATGAAGCACATTAAAATCATTACAATAATGTAGGCCCAAATAGCAAGAAGGTTTATTAAGAGATTTACTGATTTGGTTATACGTCTGGACAAAATAACAACTAAAGTTGGCAATCAAATTTTTGAAATACAAATTGTTTTTTAAAAATTCATGTTCTCCAATAGATGGCTCTACGTGTACCTATATATTATTGTTTCACTAAAATTACCCACAGCTCTATAATAAAAATATTGTTTTTATTTATTTTAGGATTCCGGTCTGCGGAAAACCCTCCCTTGGGGATGTCGTGCGCACTTTTTTAAAAAGTATAAAAAATAAACGGGAAAAGTGCGTAAGGGCCTAAAATAGCGAGAGAAACTTTCAAAATTTTAAAATCCTTTCTGGTCGCGAATAAGCGAAAACGATTGGCTACCTCCCGATTTCCCAGCAAATCAAAGGAAAGATTCTGAATGCTTTGATTTTAGCAAATATTACAATTATCTTAGTTCCAAAGATGTTATCAATAAATTTCAATGCATAATTAGTGAGAATAAACATGTTTTTCGTTTTCTTCTAGGACGTCTTCAATCTCAATGTCCAGATCTTGTAACGAAACACTCTCTTCAGCACACATTTCCACCCAATCTTCCTCTCTCTGCTTCTTCACGATTTCTTCACTGAAGCAAAGCACCTTCCTTCTGTAGTAAATCATGAAGTGATTGTCGATCAAAGGACTTTGCAAGCATACTTTGAGCAACCGTGAAAACCACTGTATTAGCCAAAAGACCAAGTTGAATAACGTTTTTCTCCAGCTTATTCCTATCATCCATTCGTTTTGCATCTTCAAGCAAACTCTGCAACATTTCTGGATCAGATGGACACACTAACTTTAGGACTTCATTACGTACAAGACACCACACTTGTAAAGCTCTCAATCGTGTTCTCCTAGGCTCAAATTAGTTTTTCTCCTCTGATACCATTCTTTGGTAAATCATTGAGTGAGGCCTGTCAAATGTTCAAGATTGCAAACATTTTCTTCTACCGGAAGAATATATACCATCATTAGAGGACGATTCATCATATGAGCTGCCATCTAATACATCAATGAGCCTCTCTCGATTATCTCTGATCATCCTTCTCTTTTTTTTTTACTGGCTTTTACACTACTCCACCTTTACTTTGGGAGATAACGTGGCAATGTTTTGTTGTACATATAGCTGGAGGATCACAATGTAAACACATTTCACAGCTTCTTTTATTTTTGTATTTATGTTTTTCACGTGGTCCTGGTCTTCTCGTAAATTCGGTCATACTTGCCTCGCGCAAAAATGGAAAACTGATTTCGAAACAGCTAAATTTTTTACACACGGCAGTGTTATCCGGTTTTTATGGTATTTTCCGCGCAAAAAATGATTCTGAAATTTTAATATTTTTTTTCCGGCGAAAATACTTATTTTGGGTGGGTTTCTGACTTATCGGGATCTTAGAATAATCAGAAAACCTTGATTATTGGCAATTTGGATGAAAACCTGCGATTTACGAGATATTTCATTAAACAAGCCTCTTTCATAAAAGGAAATTTATAATTCAGCAATAATATTATGAATCTGGTTCAATGGGGAAAAACAATAGACAATGTGAGCCACTTTCACAGGAAGAAAACTACAAACAACAATATTGTGAGCCACTTTCACAGGAAGAAAACTACAAACAAAAATATTGTTAGCCATTTTCACAGGAAGAAAACTACAAACAAGAATATTGTAAGCCACTTTCATAGGAAGAAAACTACAAACAACAATCAAACAAGAACATTGTGTGCCACTTTCACTGGAGGAAAACTACAAACAACAATATTGTGAGCCACTTTCATAGGAAGAAAACTACAAACAATCAAACAAAAATATTGTTAGCCATTTTCACAGGAAGAAAACTACAAACAAGAATATTGTGAGCCACTTTCACAGGAAGAAAACTACAAATAAGAATATTGTGAGCCACTTTTACAGGAAGAAACTTCAAATAACAATATTGTGAGCCACTTTCACAGGAAGAAAACTACAAACAATCAAACAAAAATATTGTTAGCCATTTTCACAGGAAGAAAACTACAAACAACAATATTGTGAGCCACTTTCATAGGAAGAAAACTACAAACAACAATCAAACAAGAATATTGTGAGCCACTTTCACAGGAAGAAAACTACAAACAACAATTAAACAAAAATATTGTTAGCTATTTTCACAGGAAGAAAACTACAAACAAGAATATTGTGAGCCACTTTCATAGGAAGAAAACTACAAACAACAATCAAACAAGAACATTGTGAGCCACTTTCACAGAAGAAAACTACAAACAAGAATATTGTGAGCCACTTTCACAGGAAGAAAACTACAAACAACAATATTGTGAGCCACTTTCACAGGAAGAAAACTACAAACAACAATATTGTTTGCCACTTTCATAGGAAGAAAACTACAAACAACAATCAAACAAGAACACTGTGTGCCACTTTCACTGGAGGAAACTACTAACAACAATCAAACAAGAGCACTGTGTGCCACTTTCACTACAGAAAACTACAAACAACAATCAAACAAGAACACTGTGTGCCACTTTCACTGGAAGAAACTACAAGCAACAATCAAACAAGAACACTATGTGCCACTTTCACTGGATGAAACTACAAGCAACAATCAAACAAGAACACTATGTGCCACTTTCACTGGATGAAAACTACAAACAACAATCAAACAAGAACACTATGTGCCACTTTCACTGGAAGAAACTACAAACAACAATCAAACAAGAACACTGAGAGCATCACGGTTCATTTTATTTATTTACTGCATACACAATTTTGAAAAACCTGAAGTGAAGCATTGATCACCATCTTAAAACACAGATACATGTAGTAGTACTAAATATCTGGTATATAGCTCAAGTATTAAAATATTAGGTTTTTATACCTTCATGTAAAATATTATGCCATAAAACCACATGAATATCTCAATGTTAACAATTTTCATAAATATATTACTTCAACAACACTTTTTGGAATCTCTGTGAACCAAGCCTTAAATAAAACTAATATCTTAACATCTAATGTCTTTTATAGACTAGGGTAAAAGGCACATGTGATAAATTGAATATCACAGTTCACTTCTAAAGGGTTTCAGCATTACAAGTTAAACCATGCAAATAAGTACATACAATAAAAATGTCCAATGAGTGACACATATCTGTAAACAAGGATCTCCACAATAGATTCTATTTTCACACATACAACTAAACTCTATAAATTGACACAACCAACAAATATAGAACTCACATGATAACAAACATTTCTTTCTGGTGTTTACATTACAATATTTAAAATGTTGTGTTCTTTTCTTATCATTAAAGTATTACAACACAACTGTCTGCTATAAATGGAAGTTTGAAAAACTTTCAGGTGTTTGATTGGATTTTGTAAAGGAACTTTCTCTTCTGTAAATCTTGTTTTTATCTAAAAAAATTCAATAATTTTAGCATAATCAGAGAGAAGTGTTATGTAAACACAGTTGCAAGTTTAGAAATGTTACAGTAAACAAAACTAAAAATCTGAATGAAGGTAACTGACTAGTTTGAGGCAACAAACAATTCTCTAATACGATGAGACACGTCATTAAAACTTGCGATGTTTTACTTGAGTTGCTTTCTCATCATCCAAACATGTGGACGGCCATCAATCAAAACATCTTAGGCAGTATCAATAACAAAGTAAAATGTATAATTAAATGTTATATCAAATGTGACTTTTCAACAAATAGCTGTTTAGAGATCCAAGATTTTCATGTTCAGCTGCAAAAACCCAAAGCTGATGTGGTTGACTAGAAATGTGATGATTGAAGTCTAAACGGATGAAGTGAGATCAGCCGAGCCGAAGAATAGTGTGCACATGATGAGTTCCTCTGGATTGTGATGATGAGAAAATGGTATGTTATGATATCTGCAACATCTATTTGTCCTTGAATAAGTACATCTTAAAGATCTGCTTAGATTTCAGCAACGTTAGTACAGACAAGAATAAAGGTCGCTTCAGCAGTATCGAACAAACAAAAGATGCAGACACTTTAGTACAGACAAGAAGAAAGGTCGCTTCAGCAGTATCGAACAAACAAAAGATGCAGACACTTTAGTACAGACAAGAAGAAAGGTCGCTTCAGCAGTATCGAACAAACAAAAGATGCAGACACTTTAGTACAGACAAGAATAAAGGTCGCTTCACAGCTTCAGCAGTATCGAACAAACAAAAGATGCAGACACTTTAGTACAGACAAGAAGAACGAAAGCTTCACA